TCTATCTCTTTCTCTTTCTCTTTCTCTTTCTCTTTCTCTTTCTCTTTCTCTTTCTCTTTCTCTTTCTCTGTCTCTCTCTCTCTCTCTCTCTCTCTATGCATTAGATATGTTATGTTGGTTCCTTTCCGGGACGTACCTCGGTGGGTCTGGGGAGTGGGGGACCACGCATGGTGCGACTGAAACTGTTACAAGCCGCAAGTCTCCCGCTGCGATGTTGTACTGTACGATTTGTGCTGTCGAGTCTTCCACGGATACTAAGATCCGTCGACTGAAAATTCATACAGCATTATGTTGAGTCGGAGTTTGAGGCTTAAGATCAGGGTTTACGCGGTTTAAACGACTAGGGGATGTTGTTGCTCCTTATTATTCACTGCTGTGCCTTATTGTTACTATCATAAAAGGACACCGAACTGCGATTCGAGGCAGGATCATGTGCCCAGCGTTTTTCGGCGTTTCTGATGATCCCAGCATTTTCAAGTTTTCTGACTAGTCATGATGTGCGATTTGCTCTCGCGCGAGCGGTGGAAATCCAGCACCGTCAACCAAACAAATACAAGATGTTGGGCAAGGCCGTTACAACAACAAGAATATATTGCACATCGAGAATGAATCGGCTATTGCTTCCCAATATAATATAACTAACCCATAAAACGTATATACGTTTTCCCAATTGGTTACTGAACAGCTTAGTAAATATGAATGGTGGCCGATACCATGATGTTCAGTTTGTTCTTTATATTTCCATTGAAGGTGCGTTCTATATATGCAGCACATGTTGGCTACTTGAAAAAATAAATGATGAGCGAGGGCATGCAAGATCTTTTTTTGGCAGTAAGATGAGTAGTGTTTGGTATTTCCATGACATTTGGCTTGTATATGTAGGCTTACATGTGGTGGTGCTATGTAATGAGCGCCACATTCATGAAGTATTAATAGCGCTCATGTTGTTGATAACCAGGCAATATTTAGAAGATCGTTTGCTGCAGGTAAAGAATAATATCAATAATTCATACACCCTTTTCGCATATAGGGTAATACATATTTAGTGACGGGTAAATGAGATGTCGACGGTATGCGGTTACGAAGTACTTCAATATAGTAAGTTTCGGTATCGCTGGAGCGGCAGGCCGCTCTCCCCACCCAATTGCCAAACCTTCGCGACACACAAGTCGGGTGGTTGCTGTTGTCGTGTTGCGCCAGCCCACGGGCGCAGTATGCCCTCCGCACGCTCCTGCCCGTCAGCACGCGCGAGTACGCGGCTCGTCAGTCCATGTTCACTGACTCTGCAGCAGGTTTACCCGCAAGTCGCCCTTCGTTTGCAGTTGGCCCTACGCATGGTGGCCGAGGCCTGCGCAGTGCCGTCTGTCATGCAGCGGCTTTCTGGGCCTCTGGGCCGACACCTCTCCCAGACCCACTCGGATGGGACCGTTTTTTCGTTTTTCGTGTTGCTAAGGGCTCTTCAATGGGGAGCGAGCTGACAGATGCACTGCTGCCACTTTACACTGCCTGCGACTCTCCGTCCGCAGCTGGATTTCAATCCCCGTGTTGGCACGACTTATCACGGCTTGTTTCACGGAGGAGAGCCGCCTCCCTTCGTCCCAAACGACCCACAGCTTGACACCGCTCGTGGCTGGCAGCGTGATTCCCCGACTCACAAGCAGGACCGTGTGCGGCCCGCTGCACTGCACCGCCCACTGCGCTTGAACTCACCCTGCACTTTCCACCGCTCACTGCGGCGGGATGCCGCTGTCGCCAACCACGTGCTGCATTGGATATCACCTTGCCGCTGGTCTCGTGAGTCGCTTGAGTGAGCGGATGCCAAGAGTATGCAGGGAGGCGAGCGTTTCTGTTGCAAACAACTGGCTACGGAAGCCTGTGTGCAATTGGCGATTCTCAGCCCAACCCAGAAATTGGTGAGCGTTTTAGGAAATGTTAGAAGGCCAATGCCATCACATTAGGGAGAAGCAGCAAACTCAGAAAACTGGAAGTAGTCAAACAGCATGATGCATGGCAAAATCCAGCTGAATCCTAAAGATAACGTGGCTGCAGAAACCCCACATATGGGATGATGAGCGCGACATCCAAGTTGCTGAAATAAGCGGATGCCACGGATGGCTTTTGATAGGGCTGCATGATTCCCAAACCATCCCGGAACCCCCAAAAAAATATTGACTCGTAAGGTTCTTCGAGAGGAGATGATGTGTGGCATGCCCCAAAACCTATGATAAATGGCTGGATCCTGAAAACTTTATAAACCACAAGGCACAAATGACCTCGCACATGCTTAAACATCCGTCTGGCAGTCTGCATATCAACATCTTTGTTCGTGACTTCCCCACAGGTCCCCCATGATACATATTGAGTCTTAGTTTAAGATTATGGGTCTAAAAAAAACTTGGGCATGTTTCAGACAGTGATGGTATTCATATATTTTACATAGGTGTATGTAAACAATCATATACACACACTCATGCAGCTTGGGTTCATGCACACCAATTTCTCTGGGCGCATACTAATCCAAATACTATTTTATATATTCAACAAATAACAATTTGAGAGTCAAATTATAGCTGTTGTTGATGTTGTACTGGGCCGATGTCCATCCGAGTTCAGTTCGCTATTGTGGGCCAATACGCATGTAAATTCAGTTTGTTGTTCTTGTGGGTCAATACCCATACAAATTTAGTTTGTTTTTTGTTGCCTTTCGATGCGTATCAAAATTCAATTTCATGGTATGCGCCGATACTCATCCAATTTCGCTTTGTCGTTCTCGTGGGTCAATACCCACTCGATACCTTGCTAAATCAGGTTGCATTATCACGGTCAATACTTTTTGTATTTCGTGATGTCGGAACTCAATACCAATCCAAATTCATGTCTTGATGTTGGGGTCAACAGCCTTCGTAATTGATTAAGTTTATTTGCCTCATCTATCTAGTTTATGTTTTGTTGGCTATGGGCCAATACCCATCTATATTAATGTTCGTGTTCATGAGACTCGACAAGAAATAAATTCCATGATCTGCTGTTGGGCGCTAGTGCCCACTCAATTACCGTTTTGTCGCCGTCTAATTATAGTTCAGCATTCTTGTGGATCACTATTGTATAGTTTGTTGATTTCTTTGGATCTTAACATATCGACATAAAACTAGCTGGTGCTGAGGGTCACAACCGATCCAAATTCCGGTTTCTATGTCGTAGATCCAACTTCAATTAGTTCTTGTTTTCTTGTCAATGCACATTCGAATTCCTTTTTGGTAGGGCATGTCGAGAGCAATTCAGTATATTGGCGGTCGTGACCTATGCATACTCAAGTTGTTGTAGCTACAGAACCATTGGAATCCAAATTCGGTCATTGTTGCGTGCCGATGCCGTCCGGTTGTGGCGTAGAATACATTTAGATCACTGTAATGATATCGTGAGTCCATACCCATAGGGAGTCAATTTGATGTTGCTGTTGGGCGATTTTTGTGGATGGTCAATATCGATTCAAAACTCTTTTTCCGTTCTCAAAAATCAATAGCAACCACCTGTGCGTTGCGTTAGCCCCGGTCCACCATAGTCTGAAGCTTAGTAGCCTCGTTCACCGGGACCACTTCGACCTTTGGCAAAGAAGCGAAAAATCATCTAAAATCAAGCTCTTGATATCAAAGGTTTTCATCTTGTGTAGAGCCTAAAACATTAAACAACAAGCGTGTTTTACTCGAAAAACACGGGCCTGTATTGCATTACACTGTGTAAATGTATGTGTCTGTAAATATATGTATGCATGTTTATACATATATATATATATATATGTATGTATGTATGTATGCATGCATGCATGCATGTATGCATGTATGCATGTATGCATGTATGCATGTACGCATGTACGTATGTATATGTATATGTATATGTATATGTATATGTAAAAGTATATGTATGTATGTAAAAGTATGTAAAAGTATGTATATGTATGTATATGTATGTACATGTATGTATATGTATGCATATGTATGTAAATGTATGTATGTGTATGTGTATGTACGTAAGTTTGAATGTATGTATATGTATATGTATATGTATATGTATATGTATGTGAATGTATTTTTATGTATGTATATGTATGTATATGTATGTATATGTATGTATATGTATGTATATGTATGTATATGTATATGTATGTGAATGTATTTTTATGTAGTATATGTATGTATGTGCATGTATAAGCATGTATATGCTTGTATATGTATGTCTATGTATGTATATGTATGTATGCGCGTTCCAGACGCGGTGGGTGCGATGTGCCCGCTCGATTAGGTGTGCGTGCGCTGGGCACAAAAGGATAAAGCCCAATCAACGGGGTTGTGTTTTCCGTTTTGGACGTACCGCATGCGCCCCGCACAGCACAACGGCGCTGGAATACCGACCTCACGGTTCTTGTTGAGTCCTGCCTTAATTCTGTCATGTTGTCCTGACTCGGCCTCACTTGGCATCACCGCCGAGTCGTGTCAACAGTTTGAGTCCCCACGCAAACTTGCGAGGCCTTGCAAAGGCTCCCGCTGCCCGGAGGCAGTGTGGACTAGTCAGCACCTTTTTTTGCTCCATTCGCATAGTCGCGAGGGCGTGTAGCATGGTTTTTTTCTCGAAATTTTGAATTTTTCAAGCCCGTGGAAATAAAAATTATCGGGCCTGGCTCTGTAATCGCAGGAGTGGGCCCGGAACCGATTTTCAATTATCAGCTAGCGGACCAAGACAGCCAAACCTGATTGTTGCTTGCACCATGACGAAGTCCGCTCATTGGCTGGAGCGCAAGCGGAAGCAGCACGCTGCATGTCAATATGTGGCCGTGTGCCCCAAGTTGGCCCAAGAAAATCGTAGTATGAGAAGGCAACCCGCTCGTATAGACGGGCCCATTTTCTCACAAAGACTTTCATCCATGCAACCCAAGCACGCACAAGATACAGCACCATGCGCATGCCAAGGCCGAACACAGACCTCTGTTTCACCTTGCTGCTGGCATGATGGCATGTCGGCGCATGTTGGACATCACGTTTCTCGGAAACCACCTGAGTAGATCCTGCAATTGCCCCTCGCTACCATCGAACGTTTGCCCGTTACAGTAAGGCATGCTTGACCGATGGAAGCCCAGGTTATGCATCGTGGCGTTTTTCGCCAACGCGGTGCTGAGCCAGGCGATGCGTTGGAAAAGCTGTGTCCCAACACAACCCATAATGTAGGATCGTGCAGACGGCGCCTGATTCAAGCCCATGTCATGTACAAGAATGCAGCATCGGTGACATATCCTCTAACATGTATTGCTGGCTTGCTGGCTTGCCTTCTAACATCATGTCCGGGGCCTACTTACCTTGTTCAGGAATCCAACGTGACCTGGACCGATATGTGGATCTACGGTGATGTCCCACAGACACGCCAACTTCACACCGCTGCCTTCTGGACGCAAAATTGGTTCGCATGTTGTGGCGGAGGAGTTAACATTTTTTTTTTGTCCACCCGGCTGAAAGTTTGGTTGGCCCCGACATGCCTTGCAGCGTTTGCCACTTGTTGTGTACAATACCCTTGTAAGGCTTATGACACATCGTCACGCCCGCAAGCAAGTTGTGACTAACAGCTCAGCATCCGAACCTTTATTTGCTGGTCCTGGTGTGCAACGCACTATACTCTGTCAAGCGTCTCTGAATTTGCAAACTTCTGGATGCGTCTGGAGAATGAAACAGAGGCGAAACTGGTGCTGGGTGTGGTTGTGCTAGGTTCGGTGGAACCACCGATTACATGTATCTTCATTGTAGTATTCGCACATTGCATGTAGCAAGAAGTTCGGGTGAGACATTAAAAACCGTGTTGAATTAATTCGAGATGTTTTATGCCGTAGACGCGATTCCGCTTTGTGTCTGCATTTTCGGCATGCGGCATTATGTCCACACCGGACGCCCTAATGCTCAAAGCCCTAAACCTTACATGCTCAGGTAGTTACACCGGCCGGCCGGATGTGGATTTTTGGTGGTCGATACGACGACGGTAGTTGGGAAGCCCAGGGGTGGAAGTGGCAGGAGTTGGGTTTCAGGTCAAAACCGGACAGGTTGGTGCCATCATTTCGTGGGATTTATCCGTTTGATTCCGACAGGTGCAGTGATCTTGTGGTATTGCTTGGGTTTCGATGCTTAGGTGGAGGTACACGGATTGGGCTCAAGTTACAGCCTGAGAACCTCCCACATGTCCATGTTGCCACCCTGTCAAGTTGAATGTGTGTTGCAAGCTTTTGTTTCTGGCGACATCCACGGGTGTTCTAGAATTGAACTTGTGTTGAGGCGATGTGAAAATCCCAGTCAGCGCGGGAACCGAACCCTGAACACATGGTTTAGGGTTTGTAGGGTTATCGCATACTGACATTAGAGTGGACGCGATTTTTTCGACTTGTGACCCGATCTGCAACCGGAGTTCCTCTAGAGCCCCTATCAAGTATTTCAGGGACAACAATGCAATTCAACGATTACGGGTTAAATTATCATATTCGCCCATCGAAAACTCAGCGCTACGTAGCCTGTATCGGAACGGAGTGAGTAGATAGAAGGTTTGTGGTACTGTGTAAACACTTTCCATTTCTAACACACGTGAGCTCCAGACTCCCTGCTGCGTTTGCCCAGCCATGATACGTCAAGAGATTGTTGTAACAGAGGCAATAAAGCCCTAACCCTCCAGGTACCTACTATACAGGGCCCTAGGGGGTCTAGTACCCTATATAGTAGGTACCTGGGGGTTAGGGAAAGATGTCTACGGCCTTGGGTTTGCACGCCCCATGCGAACCTAAGCCTTAGCCCCTGAGCCTCGGGCCCTGGAAGATCGTGTGGCATATGTCGTCGGCTGTGCAACTATTAGCATTATGGAACCAG